AATGCAAGAAATGACAAATGACAATAATGTAAAAGAACTGTCCCCCAATAATTGTGTGATTGGGTGCCTTTTCCCTCTGACAACGTAAAAGGATATGCAGTTGATATGAACGTGGGATCTTTGAGATTTATGGATGAAGGTTAAATAATATATGCTTGAATAAAGTGAATAAGACATATCTTTCGTATATTCTTCTCTTGACTTTACAATGTGTTTCTCAGCTCTCAAAAAGGTAGATCCCTCAATTGTTCATTGTTTCCTCCTATTTATAAGGGACATTCCCCAAAAAATCCTAAAAAGTACAACACGGAGAATATCCAAAGGAATATTCTTCCTGTCTCTTTCTAAGTTCAAGTTACCGTTATTCATATCATCTCAGCTGCCCGCTTTTGGACTTCGGCCTTTATCACAACGATGGTTGGTCACTATGTCGTGGTCGACCCCGTCCTGTGTCTTGCTTATCCGTTACCGTGATTGCCAAATTTGGACCTATACAGTTAGTCCCTCCACTTGTTGAGGTCATAGCCATGCACATCCTCGATAAGCGGACATCGTTCGTTTCCGTTGTGGGAGAATTTGGCTACTAAATTACATCGAGTTGACCAAGATCGAGAGAGCGACACATCCTGCTGAATCCTGATTGATGTGGTTATCAAGATGTGACGTCACTCCCACACGCGTCATCATTACGCATCTTTCCTAGGCAGTGTCTGAATGCTTATCGCTTTGGTTTTAGCGCCATTGGCGGTCTTCCGCTTCGATTCTCATGCCATTTAGCCTTATAAATAGGTGAGGGTTTTGTTTTTTTAGTAATTTTTCGCCATTTCCTTCCTTCTGCATACATTGTTCTCCTTTGACCATCTTTCTCAATTCCTAGCTCTGTTCATATGATTTTGCTTCTCTTCTTCCCATTCAGTCATCATTCCTCCTTCCAAGTTTTACTAGCATATCCTCTATTATCAAGATGCCCCAAACCTCTCCTGTACACGATAAAGTTTCTGACGTCACTCCATTATCAGTGGCTCCTCCTTCCAGTGGCAATGATATCGTGGCTGAGGAGGGTGACAATTTCCCTATCGTGGAAGAAATACTCCCCAGAAACCCTATGTCCAGGAACGATTTCCACAAGGAACCTATTTTTTCTCCCATTCCGGTGATCTCTGAAACCGGGCCATCTCAGATAAATGAACTCCGGTCTACGTACAATAGTCCTCCTCATGTCAAGATGGTTTCTGTTGGGAGGGACATCTTGAAAGTCCACAGACCTGGATATTGTGCTTTTTACGTATATCCTTTCGTGATTGGTCATACCTTCCCTCTTCTTCCGCTGGCGGAGGAGTTCTATCGGTTTTACGAAATCTGTCCAGCAATTTTGTCTCCGTACTTGTATAAAAATTTTCTAGTGCTGACGAANGTTCATAGACCGGGTTATTGTGCTTTTACGTATATTCTTTCGTGATTGGTCATACCTTCCCTCTTCTTCCACTGGCGGAGGAGTTCTGTCGATTTCCAAAGTCTTCCTGGCATAGTTGTCTCTGTACTTGTATAAAATCTTTCTAGTGCTGACGAAGTATGCAGAGTTGGTTGGGTGTGAGGTTGGCATTCACCACCTTTTACATTTATTTTCCCCGAGCTTTCATAGGGGTACCATGATACATCTGCGACATCGTGGGACCAGGGGATTGGTGGTTGGAATGGATGACAGGGCGAGTCGAAAGTTTTGGCACTAGTATTTTTTCATCAAAACGGAGCACTTATTGTCGGACCCCGCTGGATTTCCAAAGCAGTGGAATCATAATCGTATGTGTTGGTGATGTACATATGTTATTTATTTTCGTTCTCTTTGATTCTTATTCACTTGTGACTTTTGTGTACATCTGAGAGGCGTGCACCTTTTCCCGTTGTCGGTATTGAGGATTGGGTAGCTCGCGTGCTACCTCGCATGGTGGGGATTTGAGATTGGGCCGCTTTCCTCAAATGCTTTGGACCGAAGGTTCCATCTGGTAAGTGTTTCTTTTGCTCTGACCTTCAGTTATTTGCCATCGTTTATTGATATGACCTTTTTGTAGTGACAGGCCGACAGATTTCCAAAAAGAAGGCTCCAGTCCTAGCATTTCCCCAGGCTGTTGCATCGGCGAGGATGTAATTTAATTAGCTGAGTCCGTCCGCGGAGGTCATACTCAAACTGAACCAACAAGGGACCCTCCTCGGGACGAGATCTCTTCCCAGCTTACCTACCATTTCTTAGTTAAATCTTCCAACGGGGATGAATCACAATCGAGAAAGAGGAGGAGGGTGGATCTTGGGAAGGCCATCGCCACCGATCTTGAAAAAAGAAAAATTATTGCTCCGAGAGTGGCGTCTTCGCCTAGGTCAGGCACAAGGGCTGTTTTAATGGCGGATTCCATTTTGGTGGGGAGGTCCCCTGGGGTCGAAGAGGTATGCCAAGGCGGGGGACCTGTACGATCTGCTGAAGGCGGCACGTTACCTAGTACCGGAGGAGACGGGACGGTGCACGCGGAGGATAATGGTTCGGGCTCGGACATCGATCCCGAAGATGTACAAGCTTACTTGGAGCGACATACCCGCATGGAAGTGAAGACGGAGGGTCCTAACCAACACGTGGTCATTCCTGTGGATTATGACCTTTTGTCGAACTCCGAACAGGCTACATCGGTATTTTCCCCTTTGTGCGCTGCTTCCGAGAGCACGACACTTCAGGCGATGAGTGACGCGGAGCTCTCGCGGAATATTTCCGGCATGGCTTTGCAGGTAAGCATTTTCTCTCTTCTTTTTATTTTCGGATTTGTTTTGTATGTGTGATTTACTTAAGTTGAGATTCTTTTCTCTGCATGTCAGACTCACATCATGGAGATCGAGCGCGACTGGAGGGATAGGCGAAGGACGGTCGTTTTTGGGAAGGTGGCCTCTAAGTACAAAGACTACCGAACCAAGCATCGCGTATTGGCTGATGTTTTCACTCAAGATAGCGATTTTCAGTTGTTTTGTGACGAGCTTAAGCAGAAGGAGAAAGAGTTGGCGGAGAAGGTTAAAGAGCTAAAAGAGCGGGATGAAGAGCTGATGAAGGCCATTGGCCGGCGTAGTGAACTTGAGGCAGACCTTAAGGCCAAGGAGGATGAGTTTGAGGTGAGCAAGGGGTGATGGCTGAGAATGCCGACCTTCAGACGCAGGTGGCCGCCTTGACTGCTGAGCCTTGTCGAAGAGAGGCGGAGGCTGTCAATTTGAGGGGCGAACTGAGTGTTAAGGCTGATGAATTGGTTCGTGCTGAAAAGGGCAGGGTGACTGCCGTTTCTGAGGTAGCAGCTCTGAAAGATGCCCTTCGCGTTTGTAGGTCTGAGCATGACAATGAGGTGGAGACGTCGGCGCTCAAGGTAGCGAGGTTGGAGGAACGGATCCAAGATTTGGAGGCGGAGTTGTCCATCTTGAGCGAACAGGTTGTCGCTTTGAAGGCGGAGGAGGTACGGCGGCAGTCGCAACCTTCCACGTCTCATACTTCAGTTGATCCCATCATACCGTGGGAGTTGTATGAGATATAGGTCCATGCCGAGGCCCAACTTGATGTGTACAAGCCCTTGCAGGCTAACAGGAAGGTGTCCGAGGCAGAGCTCGAGGGTATTTGTTTTAAAGCACGTGCAACCCGTGAAGAATGTGGTTATGATCCCAGTACCCCCAGCGGGGATGTCATCGATGACGATGATGATGCGGACAGGCTTGCCTCCGATTCTTGGTGTAACAAGGACTATGCCGTGGGGGATGACGCGGCGTAGGGCTGTTGTACTTATTTTGTTTTGCTTTGCTGTTTTTGTGAGGGCGTCTTTGAGCCCTTTGTAAAAAGTTTTTGTAATACAACAGTTGTAATGGAATGATTACCTTTTTGCTGTGCACTTTCAGATTGTTATTTATTTGCTTTGAGGGGGTTGCCGGCTTTCCCGCCGCCTATGTATAATTGTTTTGGCATAGTCGATTGTAGGTCTTGGTAATCCGTGCGAGATCGAGTGCTTAAGTAATTCGAGCGAGGTTGAATGTTAAGTAATTCTAGAAAGATCGAATGTTAAGCCATTCGAGCAAGGTCGAATGTTTTCTTTAGAGATGGCCTTTGGACGTAGAGGTGTTATTTCGAGTTAGGGTCGAAATGTTAACCTATTATAATTCGAGCGAGGTCGAATGTTTTCTTTTGGCGATGGCCTTTGGCCGTAGAGGTGTTATTTTGAGTTAGGGTCGAAATGTTAACCTGTTGTAATTCGAGCGAGGTCAAATGTTTTCTTTTGGCAATGGCCTTTGGCCGTAGAGGTGTTATTTTGAGTTAGGGTCGAAATGTTAACCTGTTGTAATTCGAGCGAGGTCAAATGTTTTCTTTTGGCAATGGCCTTTGGCCGTAGAGGTGTTATTTTGAGTTAGGGTCGAAATGTTAACCTGTTGTAATTCGAGCGAGGTTGAATGTTTTCTTTTGGCGATGGCCTCTGGCCGTAGAGGTGTTATTTCGAGTTAAGGTCGAAATGATAACCTGTTGTAATTCGCGTGAGGTCGTATGTTTTCTTTTGGCGATGGCCTTTGGCTGTAGAGGTGTTATTTCGAGTTAGGGTCGAAATGTTAACTTGTTGTAATTCGAGCGAGGTCGAATGTAAGATGCAAAAGAAAATGACGAAAGGTAAAATATTGCTTTATTTCACTTCGTTGGAGAATATCTTGATGGAGTACAAAATGCTGCTTTATTCCATTTACTAGAGTACTATACATGTCTGTTTCATACATATGTTGGAGAAGTTTTTCATGTATCTAGTCCCTTCATCGTTCGGCCTGGAGAGGTCATCGGCAGGCGGGGCGATGAATTATACTTTGAACTTCGAAATGTCCCCTCGTAACCTCGTTAAAAACCTCTTCGAGAAAACCTAATTGGGACAAAACTCGGGTAAGGGAAAAAAAGTACGACTTGAGGGGCGTCCTCTTCAGAAATTGAAGTATTTGAGGTGGGAGACATTCTAGTTGTTTGTAGTGGTTTCCCTTCCATTGTTTCTAGTTGGAATGCTTCTTTGCTTGCTGCCACTGTAATTTTGTACTGCCCGTCCCAATTTTCCCAGTTTGCCTTCTCTTGGGTCTTTTGTAGCTTGTGTTTTTGCTTTGAGAACATAGTCTCCGACTTTGAGTGGTCGTATTTTGGCCTTCTTGTTGTAGTACCTTTCCGCTTGTTGTTTTTGGGCTACCATCCTTACGTAAGCCATGTCTCTTTGTTCTTCTGCCTCGTTGAGGTCTTGTCTTCTATTCTCGTCGTTATTTGATCCGCTTTCGTTGGAGTATCTTAGGCTAGGTTCTCTGACCTCAACAGGTATTATAGCATCAGTGCCGTACACTAATGAATATGATGTTTCCCCGGTGCTTGTTTTTGGCGTGGTGCAATAGGCCCATAATACCTCTGGTAGAAACTTCGGCCATAGCCCTTTGGTATCCTCAAGCTTTTTCTTTAAGATATTCAATATGGTTTTGTTGGAGGATTCGGCTTGACCGTTTCCAGCGGGATGGTATGGCGTGGAGAGTATTCGCTTGATGCGCCATTTTTCGAAGAACTTGGCCATCTTTTTCCCGGTGAACTGGGGTCCGTTATCGCATCTGATTTCTTTGGGGATGCCAAAGTGGCATATGATGTTCCTCCATATGAACGTGATGACTTCCTGTTCGCATATCTGGGCGAACGCACCTACTTCCACCCATTTGGAAAATTAGTCAGTTAAAACTAAAAGTAAACATGATTTACCTCGCCCCGCTGGGAGGGGTCCGACGATGTCCATTCCCCATTTGATGAACGACCATAGTGAGGTGACAGAGTAGAGGTGTTCGCCCGCTTGATGTATCATAGGAACGTACTTTTGGCACTGCTCGCATCTCTTGACATAATCTGTAGCTTCCTTTTTCATGGTGGGCCAGTAGTATCCTGCCCGAATGAGGCATTTGATGAGGGGTCAGTTGCATGTATGGGCACCACAGTGGCCTTTGTGTACTTCTTTGAGCACGCTCCTGGTCTGACTCATCCCTAGGTATTTAGCCAAGGGGCCCCCAAACGTTCTCTTGTACAGGTCGTGATTTATGATGTTGTACCTAGCCGCCTGTATTAGAAGATTTTTGGCTTCCTTTTTGTATGACGGGAGTATTCCCTCCTACAAATATATCATGATGCGGTTGCGCCAGTCCCAAGTCAAATTTATGGAATGTACTTCGAGTTGGTCTATTGACAAGTGGAGGATGGTGACCACGCTTTCTTTAGTGATATTTTTGGTGGCAGCTATTAGTTTGGCGAGTCCGTCCGCCTCGAAGTTTTGAGCTCGGGGTATCTGGTCGAGTAGGCATCCATCGAATTCCGGCAGCAGTTTGGGAATTTCTGCCTGGTACTTTTGTAGCCTTTGTTCTTTGACTTGGAAAGCCCCTATGACTTGGTTGACGACGAGTTGTGAGTAGCATCTGAGGACGACTCGTCGTGCTCCATACTTGAGAGCTAGCTTTAACCCTGCAATTACGACCTCATACTCGGCCTCATTGTTAGTCATATCGGGGAACCATATGGACTGGCGGATAACTTCCCCGGTTGGGACCTCGAGTACGAGTCCTAGTCCCGAACCTAACGCATTAGATGCACCATCGGTGTAAAGAACCCAAAGGTTGGGTTGCCCAGGGGAGGTACGAGAAGCTTCCTGCTCGACCTCGGGCATTATTTTGGCACTAAAATCGATGATAAAGTCGGCGAGTACCTGTGATTTTATCGATGTTCTTGGCTGATATGTTATATCATGCTCATTTAGTTCGATGTCCCACTTGGCCAGTCTTCTCGACAATTTGGGTTTATGTAGGATGCTCCGCAGAGAGAAGGTTGTCACTACCGATATAGGGTGGCACTAAAAATAGAGTCTAAGCTTTCGTGAAGCTATAGCCAGTGCTAAGGCCAACTTCTAGAGGTGGGGGTACCTTGTTTCGGCGTCGACCAGGGTTTTGCGAATATAATAAATCGGAGATTGCGTACCTTTGTTCTCGCGGACCAGCACCGCGCTTACCACGACTTCTAAGACGGCCAAATACAATAGTAGGTGCTCATCGGGCTCTGCTTTGGCGAGTAATGGGAGCGAGGAAAAATACGCCTATAGTTCTCTCAAGACATCGACACATTCTGAATTCCACTGGAGCCCGTTATCTTTTTTCAGCACATTGAAGAATTTGTGGCATCTGTCGGATGACCGCGAGATGAATCTTGACAGAGCGGCTATGCGGCCAGTCAATTTTTGCACTTGTTTCTTACTGGTCAACACCTCAAGTATCCCTTTAATGGCTTTGATTTGATCTAGATTAACCTCGATGCCTCCTTGTTGTTACACCCGCAATATTATGATGATATTGTGCCTTATAGTATTATATTACGATGATGTTATGCTTCACAATATTAAATTACTACAATGTTGCATCCTGTAGTATTGTACGTTGAATTTTTCGTAAGGTAATTGACATCAGTCCAAGGAAAAGATTATTTGGAGATTATAAAGATTATGTTATTTCACAAGTGATGAGTAAATTCGTGAAGTTGAGAGGGGAAGCAAGTCAAAGAAAATGAATTTTCGTCCAAGTTTGGCATGTTGGGATAAAATTCGGGCCGAGCATTAATATATGATATTTATGGACTATTACCATACGAGGTACCATATAACCATTATAGTATGATATATAAAAGGGTATTAAAAATAAGTAGAATTTTAAGTAATTTGAGACAATTTTTAATTATGCGGGTAATTGGTTAATTACCGGGTAACGAAATATTTTCTAATTAATTAATTGGTTATGGGATAAGAATATACCCCCCACACCCTCCACTTGGCAGCAAGACATTAACCTACCAAATGACTCTTGATCAATTTGGATTAGGTGGCAACATAGTGTATTAATCTCAAGAAAACTCATTTCTAGAATCTAAAATACCAAGACTACAATTCAGACGAGAGCTTTGCTATTTAGAAACATGAAATGCTTACAAAATCCTACAAAGAAGTACTACAATAGAAGACGTGTGCTTTGCCATTTAGAAACGTGAAATGCATGCAAATTCCTACAAGTTTCAATAATTCCAACGAAAATTATTTACACATTGTCACACCTCCTTTTTCACCTACACCCCGAGGAGGGTATAATAAAGGGAGTTTTTTCCAATTTAAGTG